TGGAAAGGACGGGGGTGGGGGGACAGTATCCATATCTATATATAGATCTGGGCACACATAAAAATGGAAATATATATATATATATATGAAACTTTATATATAGAAATATAAAACTTTATGTATGTGTGTATATGTGTATATATGTATGTGTGTGTATGTATGTGTATATGTGTGTGTATGTGTATATGTGTATATGTATGTATACAATCATAACCCTGAAATTCACTAAATGAATCATGCGGCTTAATTGGCAAATTGCAACCTTTATAACTGTTGCACTCATATCCTGGAAACGTTTGCAATTCCAGAATTCAAGCGTGGTCAGAATTCCTTGATAAGCCAGCAGGTTGCTCCCCACACTCAGCTCCCCTCCCCAAGATTAAGCATCCCCAGGCTTACAGTCATATCCAGGACCCTGCAGCTGGAGGGGCCCCTGGGGCACCGAATCCAACTCTCCTTTTCCACAGGAGGAAATAGCTTCCGAGGTGGGGAGGGGACTTGCCCCAGGCGCCCAGTAGTAGAGTGGCCCCGGCAGAAGTAGGATCTGCATGGGTTTGCTGCCTGCAGCAGACAGGGAAGCACCAGCCCATGTCCTGCGTGGGCCATGCTTTGGGGTCCTCATCCTGCCCTGTGCGGGTTCCGCGGGAAGGGACCTCGGGGCTGTCTCATCCAACCGTCTCATTTCACAGGGGAGGAAATGAAGGGGCAGAGAGGGGAAGGGGTTTATCCAGGATTACACAGGTCCTTCTTTCCATGATAGCAAATGGCCTCTGAGGGCCCTTTCAGTGCTGCCACGAGGCGGTTCTCTGTCATCACTGTTTGACATCCCCCATGCCCATGCTGGAGCTGGGCAAACCATGTTAAACGCAGCACAGAAGGGAACCGAGCCAAAGTGAATTGAAGTTACAATAGGTGTCAGCGCCGGGTCCCTTTGTGGGTCATACACCAACGTGTGGCCTAGACCTGGGCTGTGAGAGCTGATCCAGCTACAGCACAACGTGAGCCCCTGTGGAAGCAGCAACTCGGGCAGAGAGACCCATTTCCCTCTGAAAAATCCAGACAGGGACGAGCGGCTGTGGGAGTTAGACCATTGCAGCAGCTTCGCCTTTTACTTTGATGGAGAGACAGACCCAGGCCATAAGGGGCTTTGGATACCTGAGGAACTGCTTTACATCCTGGGGAAGTGGGTGGCAGACCTCGGATGGATGTTGCAGCTTTACAATCTTGGGGCCTGAGAAGTAGAACAAGGACTGTCAGGCCTGAGAGGGCCTTGAGAACAGGGAATGTCAGAGCTGAAAGAATGCTTAGAACAGAGAATGATCGGAACTAAGAGAAGGACCTTAGAACAGGTGAGGTGAGAGCTGAGAGGAGCCTCAGAATATAGAATGTTAGAGCCAGGAGGGACCTCAGAACATGGAATGCCCTTAGAACACAGGATCTCAGAGCTGGGTGCAACCTTAAAACATAGAACAGGGCTGAAAGTGTTCCAGCTGGACTATAGGTCCTACAACCCCATTTCCCAGAGGAGAAAACAGAGGCTCAGAGGGCAAGTGACCTGTTCCACCTCACAAGGGTGGGGTTAGAACCCAGGTCTCCCCTCTCCTTGTGTAGCAAAGTCCCTCAGGATGTTTCCCAGACTGTAGAGACCATTGAAAACCTCAGAGTCCAGTGAGCTTGCTTGGAATTGAATTATATAAATTCTCTTAAAATGGATGAATGGGGGGGAAATCCCCTCAAAATATAAATATGAATAAATAGAAATAGATCTCATTTACAATCCTAAAAATTCCACTAATAATTTTGTTTTAACTTTTAAGAAATAAGTAGCCCCGCCTTGCTTTGTCGACTGGAGGCCGGTGGGGAGGCCTAGGGCACTGCAGGCACGTGAGCTAGTGAGCGCCAGCCACAGTGCAGACCTGCCTCCCACATCTGCATGCTCAATTCCTCTCCTCATATTTCTTCTCTTAATAATACAGCTGTAGCTCCTATCCTGAGGGGACTTTTTATGTAAAGCGTAGTTAATATTGGAAAGTGTTATTTGCATCTGAAGATGGTGGTGTCTTCTCTGATTAGGAGAAGCATTCCGTCTAGTCAGGGAAAAAGCATAATTTTTTTCCATTCAGATATAATGATCCTGGGAGAAGTGACAGAGAAATGATCGGGCCACACCAGCAGCCATCTGCTGTTCCCAGCTCTGCCTCCCCCTCAGAGCATGACAATGGCGAGACGGGCTGGTGGGGACTGGAAAGGAGGACCCACAATCCTTGTCTTGCACTGATTTCCCCTTACAAGAAGTCTGACTCAGGCGAAATCCTCCCAGGGCCAACAAGAGCCTGATGAAATATTAAAGAACACAACAGAGGTGCCCATTTACCCGGCCTGTTGTGACCACCCCCATTTTACAGAGGGGAAAAGCATGGCTCTCATGGGCTCATACTAGGATCCCAGAGATGGTAGGACCTTAGGGGTCATCTTGTTCAAAACCCTCATCTGATAGGTGAGAAAGCACCATAGAGTGACTTCCCCAAGATTGGGTGGGTACGTGGCAGAACGGGCCTTTGAACCCACATTCTCTGAGGCCAGCTCTATCCTCATGTCTATAGTACCATGCTCTTTGGAGAGCTGATGATTGAATGGAAGAGATAGTTTCCTTTTTATATCAAAAGTGAACTAGAAAAGTCCTTGAGCTTCAGTTTAATTCCAAAGCATGTTAAGGACGCACCTACAAGGACAGAGCATGGTGGGTACAAATGTATGGTGGTCAAAAAGGGTACAGGAGCACAGCTAAGTTTGGGGTCAGTGGGACTCCAGTGTAGAGTTACGTGAAATAGGAAAGCCAGTCTGGAGCTGAGCTCTGGTCTAGAGGCCTTGAGTACCAGGCTAAACAGCTGCTAGTTGATTTTGGGCGGAAGACTACCAGGAGCTTCTGGAGGTTTTTGGGGAGGGGAAGGTTGAGCTGAAAGTTGCCAAGAACTTCCCCAAGTGTAGGGGAAACCCCCATGGCTGGGGGCAGGGCCTCAGTTCTAGCCTGGATGACCTCTTTGTTTGGACAGTGGAGGACGCTATGAAGAGGCACAGAGCTTGGTCATGATGGGCTCTGTGGTCTTTCTCCCCCTGTGGCTGTATTCTCACATGCACAGCAGGGGAACTGGGCCTCCAGCTCATGGCTTTCCATCAGGTCCCACCCTTCATCTTACAGATGGGGAGGGTGAGGCCCAGGGACCTTTTTATAGTGGTTATCTTAGGGACACAGGTTGCTAGCATTAGAGATGGGATTTGCACCAGGTCCTCTGAATGCAGAGCTAGGGATCTTTCTGCTGCACCTGGTAACAGGTAGGCTTCCTTCCAGCCCTGCCATGTGACAGTTCTGTGCTGTCACTGGCCTTTCTAGTGTCCAGTGATGAGGGCAGATCTGTACAGATGGTGTGAAATCCCTTCTCACCGACCCGCTGCTGCAGCCTTGGACTACGCAGTGATGAGGCTGGCCGTTTGTCCTGGGCACTCATTTACAGCTGCTAGAATTCCAGAAAACCTGAAACCTGCCTGTCCACCATTTGTATTTTTCCTGATGGCAAATGTTCAGCCATTTGACTTTGAGAATAGTTGTAAACATCCATTAAACATCATGCCTTCTGACTGTTGGTGCTCTGGGGTGGAGGTGCTGGGTCTCATGGCATCAAGTCATCGTCCTGCTCTGTGATGGATTCCTGTGTAGGTGAACCAAACGGCTGCTTTTTCTAGCTGAGCAAAAGCCTTGGGCTAGAAGCTTATCTCCTGTAGCTCCCTGAGGGCACCCCTAACTGCACCTGTGGCAGGCAGGATAGAAGATGATGTTCTGGTCTCTTCCCCTCACTCTCTAGGTTTTGAGAGCTTTTTGTAGTTTGGAGGTTGCATGTGTTGAGTATGGCAACCTCTGTGCAAAATGATGTTCTTCAGTGTTTATGAATTAATGTTCTACTTTGGCAATTTACTACTGCGAAAATAGCACTGCTACTATCCTCTCATTTTCATCTGTTTTTGATGGAGTTCAGATAGAAATGGTCCTGAGACAAGTGGCTATCTGACTGTTTTTCTTTTATATTTAATGTGCTGTGGACTATTGCCCACGAGGACAAAATGACAGTTCTTTGTGATAGAATAAAAGTAGTGGCTGCTATTCTAACTAATAATAGATTGATAAAGAGCGTGATCTGTTAAGCACTTGTTAGCGTCCAGGCACGCTGCTATTAATAACAATACTCATGATATCTCAGACAGTGAGTGCGGCATGGTAGCTTTTGAGGGCTTGCCTTAGAGTCAAGAAGACCTGGGTTCCAGCCCTACCTCTGACCCATAGTTAGGGTGTCACTTAACTCCTTAGTGTCCCGGGCACTGATCCGAGACTACGCGTTACAGACAAGGTGCCCGTTTGCGTCAGTGGAGGGAGTTTCCTCTCCCAGAAGTCCTCATTGCAGTGAAATCCCTCATCCGGAGCCCCTCTGTGTCTGGAGCACAGTGCCTAGCAGAGTCAGGGCTAGGTGACTGATGAGTGACCCCCACAGTGTGTTAAGAATGGGCCTTCAAGTGGCACTTTGGTTAGTTTATAAAGTGCTCTTCTCTCAACAACCCTGTAGGTATGGGGTGGGGTGCAGTTGTTATACCCCCATTTCACAGGTGAGGAAAGTGAGGCTTTGAGGGATAAAGTGATTGGCCTAAGATCACACGGTGACCTTAGTGCTGAGCCAGAATTTGAACCCAAGCCTCCTTTCTCTGCGTGCAGGGCTCTGACCTGGCACACCGAGCTCTAAACTCATCTTTCTGTGGCTTCAGTGCCATGACTGTGGCGAGTTCCCTTTCTTCATCACCTGCTCGGGCAGGTCTTCCAGGAAAGGTAGGCCCCGTTTGTTTTTAGAATCCAAAGGTGGCTTCTAGTGGGGCCTCCTGGGGCCAGGCCCGGCCAAGAGCTGAGCTGAGATTCAGTCTTTATTAAATGAATCCAAAACCGATTCTCCTTTGTCTAGACTGCTGCTGAGTGGTCGGATAAAATGCAGAAAGCCTGTAGGCCCAAATCTCTGAAGGACCAGTTCTTGAAAGACATCCTGACGCGTATCCGGGATGTCGTGACGACCCGCTACCTGAACATATCCCAGGAATTTTCTGATATTGATTGTTCCAGATCAAACTTGATATCCAGAGAAGACTTCCGAAGCATCTGCAATCGTTACTTCCAGATTTTGAATGATGAACAAGTAAGATGTGCCCCCATGTCTCCTGCCAGCAGCCAGTGCATTGGAGTGCCCTGGGGGTGGGGGTGGGGCCGGGCGTCGCTCCCACCAAAGCTAGAGCTCATGGGCTCGGTAGCATGCAATAACTACTGTATGTCAGTCTGGGGCCTGCTGCCTGAGCTGACAGCTTCTGGTGGAAGCTGGGGGACAGGGTGTCAAAAAGAACCTACAAGACAGTATCAGATCACTTTACAAACCACGGTGCTACAGAAATGTTAGCTGCTCTTATAATACTAACACTGAGGGACAGACAGAATATTCCCACCCACCAGTGAAATTACAAGTCTGAACCAAACTGAAAAATGCTCCTGGCAGTTTGGTTGAAACTCAAACTTAAGAAGCATTTACAAAGTCCGTACAGTTTGGGCTCAGAAGTGGCTGAGGTAGAAAACTGAGATAGTACCCAGTCCCTGCCTTCAAGAAACTTCCAGTCTACATGCACAAAAAGATCCATAATACTGCATAAAAGCCTCTAGCCCCCACTGGAGAGGGACAGAGTGCCAGGGGGGTCAGAAACAGGAAAGATCCTTTCTGACTAGGGGGACCAGGAGGGCTTCTTGTACGAAGCAGCATTTGGACCTGCCTGGAGAGAGCTGGAGAGGTGGGGTGGGAGGCAGGGCAAAGGAAGGACCTTTCTTCCAGGCTAAGGGAAGCTCATAAGCAAAAGCAGAGAAACACAGGACACACCAGGAGGGCTGCAGGCATCTGGGGGGCTTGACTTCTTGGAGATTCTTAACAGTTTGAATATTGCATTTCTTTAAAGGACAAAATGAAATTCAAAATTTGTGTTTTTGAAGCTGTGGCTTTTCCCTAAAATTGGCCAGCCTTCTGTCCATTCCTGTCTCAGAAGGCAGGCACTCTGCCCTGCCTTTGAATCCTCCAGGGCCCAGCTGCTCAATATCTGGGTGACCAATGGAAAATCCTTTAATAATTTACATCTGTGGCATTTTAGGGTTTTTAAACCTTCCCCCCACAACCCTGGGAGATAAGGAATGCAACTATTATCATCCCCATTTTTCAGGACACTGAGGCTTGGAGAGAGGAAGGGACTTAGCCAAGGCCACCCAGCTCATAGGTTCATTGGGTAGTGGGATTTGGAGCTGGGAGGGAAGGGTCAGAGAGATGATGCAGCCTGATCCCCTCATTCCACAGAGGAGAAAACTCCAGAGATGAGGTAAGTGTGCTTCATAAAGTCACACAAAGCCAGAACTCAGACCCCCATTAGAGCTGGAACGGGCCTCAGAGGCCTCTGAGTCCAAACCCTGTATTTGAGAGAGGACTAAACCAAGGTAGGTGCAGGGAGGTGAGGCCATTTGTCCAAGGTCTCAGAGGTCATGGGTAGCGGAAGAAGCTCTCTCTCCCCCCAGAGCCAGGGTTCTTTTGGGCCTGTGACTCTAGACTAGACTCTTCTGGGCCCCAGTTTCCTATTCTATCAAATACAGGGGTGGGTGTGGTTACCTCCACAGACTCTCCCACCTCCATTCTCCTTTGATCTGTCTGGAAGTTCAGAGAAAAGTGAAGAAGCTTCTGTCTAGCTCTCCTCCTGCCAGGAAAGAATTCAGCATCCTCAGCACCACATAGAGCAAAGGCACCCTGGAGAAGCTGGCCTACCTGTTCCAGGCAGGGGCCAGTGTGGAGCCCCTCCTGCCTGTGCTAGGGCCTCAGCTCCCCCCGGACCTCTGGCTGCAGCCACGAAGGCAAAGCCCAGGAGCCAGAGCCCTGCATGCAGAGGCAGGAGGAGTGGGTTCAAATTCCATCTCGGCACTAAGTTCACCAGGTGATCTTAGGCCAGTTGCTTCATCCCTCTTCTCCTGCCTTCTGTCGCCGCCTCCTCCGTCACCGCCATCTCTCGTGACCAAGCGACCTTACTCTTCTACCTGCTCACTCCATCCCATCCCGTCTCCTCCAGCGTGTCACCCTTCTGCTGTCTCCACTCTTACTTACTTTCAGTCTCTCCCTGTATCATTCCCTGTAGCTTACAAGCACTCCCATGTGTCCCGCCTCCTGACAAACGCCCTCCCTCGATCCTTCCATGGCCCTCTAACTGCTGCCCTCCATCTTTCCTGCCCTTTGTAGCTAGACTCCCAAAGGCTGTTTACAGGGTGCACTCCCACTTCCTCTCCTCCTGCTGTCCTCTGAGCCTGGTCCCCACAATCCGGCTTCTAACTTCATTCTACCCAAACTGCTCCCTCCAAGGTTACTAATGATCTCTTAGTGGCCACGTCCAATGACCGTTCCTCCCCTTCTCCTCAACCTCTGTGCAGCCTTTGATCACTCTCTCCTCTCGGTTTTCAGGACACCCTCCCCCCTCCTCACCTGGTTCTCCTTCTCCCTCTCTGACTGCTCCTCCTTGGTCTCCTTTGCCCCCTCCTCCAGGTCACACCCTCTAACCAGAGGTGTCCCTCATGGCTCTGTCCCGGACCTGCCTCCCTTCTCCCTCTAGACTACTTTCCTTGCTGATCTCATTAGTTACCTTGGATTTAATGACTGTCTCTGTGTTGATTCTCAAGTTTCCCTATCCTGCTCTAATTTCCTTGCTGACCTCCAGTCTCTCATCTCCAACTGCTTTTCTGATATCTCAAACTGGATGTTCAGCAGACATCTTGAATTCACTATGTCTAAAGCAGAACTCATGCTCTATCTCCCTAAACCCTCCTACTCCCACCTTCCCTGTTGCTGTACAGGGCAGCATCATTCTCCCAGTCCTCCAGGCTCCCAACCCACGAGTCAGCCAGGATTCCTCCCTCTCTCTCACCCCCAAATCCAATTGCCGAGGCCTGTGGAGTTCACCTCTGCAGCATCTCGCGAACATGCCCCCTTCTGTGCTCTGACACTGTTGTAATAGTTTGTGGATGGGTCCGCCCGCCTCTAGTCTCTCCGCACTCCATCTGCCATAGTGATTTTCCTGAAGGGCAGGTCTGATTGTATTGCCTTCCCCTTCCCCCACTTCATTGTACTCGAATGGCTTCCATTACTTACAGGATCAACTCTAAAATCTTCTTTCAGCCCTTCTTAACCTGGCCCCTTCGTGCTTCTTAATTTTACTCCAATCCAATGACCCTGACCTTTTCATTGTTTCTCCACCTTCCAGCCCTGGGCGTGGTTCCCTGGTTGGCCCCAGGCCTGGAATTCACTCCCTCCTCCTCTCTCCCTCCTGGCTTCCTTGGCTTCCTGTAAGTCCCAGCTAAAATCCTTCCTTCTACACAAGGTGGTCTCCCTTAATTCTGATGATTTTCCTTTGTTTATTATTCCCAGTTCATCCTGTCTTTGTCCTGTTTGAGCATAAGTGTTTGCTTGTTGGAGGATACCCTCCATTAGACTGTGAGCTCCTTGAGGGCAGGGAATATCTTTTGTTTTCCATTTGCCCTTTCTTTGTATCCCCAGTGGGGGATACATAGTAGGTGCTCAGTAAATACTTATAGCCTTGATCTGAACATGGTTTCGAGAAGGGAGAGGGTGGAAGTGGGGCAAACTTGTTAAGAAGTTTATGCTGTAAAAGTCCAGGCTGGTGGTCTTATATGCCTGTCTTAGGATGGAGGCAATGAGAATTGGGGGGACGGGGCCGGAGGTTCCTTCCAGCCCTAAATCTCTGATACTGTGACCCATGATGGGGGAGATGATGTGAAGACGGAATTGATAGCACCTGGTACTCTCTCTGGGATGTAAAGATGAGGGCATAGGAAATCGCAGCCTCTCTGAGTTCTGGGGTCTTTGAATGAGACAGTCACAGAAGAATCCTGAGTGGGATGGACCTCAGAGGTCAACAAGTCCAATCCCCTGCCTGGTTTCCTGGTGGTATGACCCCAGGGCTGCTGAGCTATCAAATCCTTTCCATTTTCCCAAATGTCTCAATGCTGGTTTTGTCAGGAGACAATAGCCCTGCTGATGGTGGGGCAGCAGGTAGGTGCGTCCTGTTGAGATGCATGCAGAGCGCTGGTGTCCCAGGGAAAAAGAGGGGTGCACCCAGAGGCCCGTAGCTGGGATAAAGGTGTGTTGGCTGGCTGGCTGCCTCCGTGACTGACCACGAGATTGAATGGCCGTAACCTGCTCCCCAGGTCCCCATTCCATTTTAAGATGTCCTGCAGAGGGTGTGAATGACCCGTTTGCCATGGCTTACTCCTCTTCCTTCTCCAGGGCTGAGGCCGGCCGAAACTGGGGGGAGGCTGGTTTGGCTGGTTCAGGCCCGAGGCCTTCCATTAGCTGCTGCGCCCCTTCGGCCCACGAGTGCCAGCGTGGGGAGGACGTCACGTCCCCCACCCACCCACCTAACGCGCCTTTCCCTCTGTCCCCAGTTCGAGAGCCTGTGGAACGAGCTGCCCCTCCACAGCGAGGGGAGGCTCAAGTACCTGGACTTCTTAAACAAGTTCAACATGGAGAAAGCTCTGAGCCCCCCGGCCACGGCGGATTCGGCGAAAACCCAGCGATCGCGGGGCAACAGTCCGGAGGCCGCGGCAGTGACCGCAGCGCCGGGGACCGCGCCCCCGACCGCAGGCGGCTCCGCCCCGGGGGCCGCGCCGCGCCCCCAGACTGGTCACGAAACTGTAAGCTGCCCGGAGGCGGAGCGCCTACCACGTCCCTCTCGGGCTTTCCCGGCGCCCGTGGACGCCCGTCCTGTAGAGAGGGGTAGCTGGGAAGGGGGCCACTCAGCTGGAGGCGACCGGTTTGGCGGAAGGAGCGCTGACCTGGGGCTAAGATGACCCATCTACTGTGCGACATCGGGCAAATCACTTAACCCTTCTCTGAGCCTCGGTTTTCTCCTCTACAAAATGGCCTTAATTCTATTTGTGCTAAGTACATTCTAGAAACATGGGATTATAGGACATAGAGTCCAAATTTTGAGCTGAAAAGTTCCTTACAGATCATCTGATCCAACTCGCTCATTTATTTGTTTGTTTATTCATTCATTTATTTATTGAGGCAATCAGGGTTAAGTGACTTGCCCAGGGTCACACAGCTGGTAACTGTCAAGTGTCTGAGGTGGGATTTGAACTCAGGTCCTCCTGACTCCAGGGCTGGTGCTCTGTGCACTGTGATGGTACCTAGCTGCTCCCCAACTCCCTCATTCTAAAGGTGGGGAGACTGAGGCACAGAGGGGAACTCAACTTGGGCAAGGTAAGTAGGGGAGCGAGGGCTAAGAGCCCACCTCCTCTGATGGAAAGCCCTCCGTTCTTTCCTCCTGTGCCCTGCTGCCTCTTTTATATGTGAGTCTAGGCTCTCCCCCTCGCCTACTTCATTAATGGCCTTGCACATTGCAGGCAATTGGTAAATGAATGTTGAATGTTTTGGGCTGGGCTGGGATCAGGGACAGATAGAAAAAGGGCCCAGAGTCAGACCGAAGGAGAGATTGAATAGACCCAAGGGGAAGGCCAGGGGTGTGTGCCCCCAGCAGAGCCGGCAAATACCTTGGCCTAGTGCTCTGGGGAGAACTCATCCCTTGTCCTGCTTCCAGCAGTCGGGTCTGTTGGGCAGTGGGCTTTGGCTACAGGGGCTGGTCCCGGGGACACCCATTGGCAGCCTGTCTTTCCAGCCTCTGCACATGGCCCACCCACCTGGCTTCCAGTCAGCCACATCTGTTTCCTAATTACTTTGATATTTCGTGATGTTTAGCTGTTAGAAAAGTGACTGAATAAATTACAGAGATACTATGTGGAGACAGTTTAGTCTAAACGCTGACCACTTCAGGTGCATGGCTTCTAACCCGGGGAAACAGTTGCTCCCATTATTCAGTTCAACCAGTGAATATTTATTAAGCATCTACTGTGGGCAGAGAATCCTGAGGCCTGAGGGGCATTCAAAGTTTTGCTAAAACAGCAGCCTCGGAGAGGGGGCGTGAGGTCCACAGCTGAGGAGAATGCAGAAGGTGCAAAGGAAGAGCACCCAGGGAGGGGCAGGAGAGTGCTGTAGTCTTGGGTGGGGGGCCAAGGCACCTAGAGGAGCTGGTGTTTTAACTGGATGGGTTAAATTCAAGGGGTGACAAGAGCACGCTTGAGAGAGAGAGAGAACCCTGGACAGAGGGAACAGCATAAGCAAAGCCATGGAGGTGGGAGAGTTTGAGGCACATTTATGGGACAGAGATTGGGCTGTAGAGTGCAGAGTACATGGGGTGCTATGAAATAAGGCAGGTTCAGGCAGGACAGCACCAATTCCTGCCCCCATCCCCCGCTGTATATGCAGGTTGAGCTCCATGAGGCCAGGGAGCGTGTGGCACTGAACCTTCGTGTGTTCTCCAGTACAAAGTACAGTCCTTTGTGGACGGCGGGGACTTATTCCATGTTTGCTTCATCAGATGGCACTGGGGTATGGGGAGAGGGGCAATGCTTTGGAATCAGAAGGCTGGGGTTCAAGACCTTCCTCTGACACACACACTGACTGAGACCCTGGGCCAGTCCCTCCACCTCCAAGACAGCTGCTGATTTGAGCTGGTAAATGGAGTCTGCTCCTTGAGGGGCTTCCTATTGTGATGTTATCACAGTGTGGGGAGTATAGCTCCAAATCGGCCAAAAGGCAAGGAAGCAGCTGGGAAGCCTCCTGCACATCTTGGGCTGGGTGACTTCTCCTCTCTGGCCTCAAGAAGGACGTCCTGCTCCCTCCTTTGCCCTCTTGAGCCCCTGCTGCCCACCAGGCGCCCTCTCTGACCCCTCTCTGTTCGTGCCGCCAGGTTCCAGCGACCGCTGGCTCCACAGCTTCCCGGGCCTGGCTCCCTCTCTTGCAGAACTGTGAGGCGATTGAAGCAAAGCTGAGGAAGAGGATCCAGGGTTGCTGGAAGGAGATGCTGAAAGAGTGTAAGGAGAAGGACGTCGACAAACACGCAGAAATCACCGTGGCCGAATTCCAAGGTGCCAGCACCTGCCCCCACCGTGGTCACAGACTGGCAGAGAAAGCCAGAGCTGGGAGGGGCTCTAGTGACACCTGGTCTAATCTCATTTGACAAGCAAGGAAACTGAGGTGGGAGAAAGGCTGAGACCCAAGCCCAGGATGGGGTGGCCAGGAGAGGAGCCCTATGGGGGCTCTTGGGGTCCTGGCTTCCTTCATCTGTCAAAGGGGGCCAGGGGAATGCAGTCTCCCTCCTGGAGGGGGAAGGACTGCCTCACTCTTGTTTCGGTTGCCCCAGCAACCCGGCACAGTGTCTGGTATGCAGTAAATGCTTAATAAATGCCTATTGATGGAAACTGGAGAAATGTCAGCTGAGGCATATTATTCTATTTCTGTTTTTATTTTTTTTATTTTTATTTTTTGGCAGTTGGGGTTAAGTGACTTGCCCAGGGTCACACAGCTAGTCAGTGTCAAGTGTTTGTTCTGAGGCCATATTTGAACTCAGGTCCTCCTGACTTCAGGGCCGGTGCTCTATCCACTGTGCCACCTAGCTGCCCTTATTATTCTATTTCTAATGAATATCTCACTCTAACCCCATAATGTCCCAAATCTCTGCTGTGCCATCATCTGACTAATTATCCTAATTATCCTCCATCAGCTAGATGGCCGAGAGCTGGGCAAAAGCTCTAGCCCCACTGCACTGTGGCCCCTGGGGGGGCAGTCTTCTCTACCCCCCTCCGCAACTAAGAAGTTGTTCCTGTGGAGCTGACCACCCTCTGTAATGCTGTTTTATCGACCACCATGCTTTCATGGGAACAGCTATCAGTGTGCTGTATGCTTATGGGTGGAGAGAGCATGGCACTTAGATTCAGAAGCTAACACAGGATGAATCATGTCCTAATCTGTAAAAACAAGGATGATAATATCTGCCCTCCCCCTGCTCTTGTGGGGAAATGCACATGCAGTAAGAGTGGAGAGTCCCTTAGGGTAAACTATAGACAACTTGGAGAGAACTGAGGGTGAATCCTGCCTCTGACATTTCCTGGCAGTGTGACCTTGCCCCAGTCATGATCTTTCCTTGAGCTTCCTCATCTGACCCCTGAGATTCTGCCTGTTTCAAAGGGTTCTTTAAGGGGCTGGTACCCAGGTGATGGCAGATGGACGGATAGGTGGACAGGCAGACAATGTGCTGAGTTCCCTGTCTTGTGCTCTAGCTCTGGCAGACAAGTACAACCTGGAGATCGGCAAGGAAGAGTGCCAGCATCTCATCACCAAGTATGATCTGAAGAACAATGGAAAGTTTGCGTACTGCGACTTCTTCCAGAGCTGTGTCCTCCTCTTAAAGGCGAAGGAGACCTCGCTGATGCAGAGGATGAAAATCCAGCAGGTCTACATGATGGTATGCATGCGCCTGTGTCCTCAGTGCTCCCGTACCCACCTGCCGCGGCGCCTGGGCCTCTCTGTGGCTCTCCGCCACCCGCTGACCCTGGCGCTTGTTGGCATGGACCATGCCCAGGACTTTGAGCCCAGACTCTTATGAATTATGGGATCTTGGACAAATCACGGTCCTCTTCTGAGACTCGGTCTCCTAATTTGAAAACAGCAGGGTTTGGGAGAGATAATAATAGCTAGCATTCATATGGTGCTTCAATATTTGCAGATTGCTTTATACATATTGTCTGATTTGATCCTCACAACAACAGTGGGAGGTGGGTGCTATTATTGTCCTCGATTTACAGATGTGACACTGAGACAGACTGAGGTTAGATGACTTGTCCAGGGTCACACAGTTAGTGTCTGAGGCTGTATTTGAACTCAGGTCTTCATGACTCCAGGTCTGGTGGGTGCTCTAGCTACCAAGCCACCCAGCCACCCAGCTGCTGTGGGCGAGACGACCGCTAGTGCTAACATTCTAGATTCTACATTGAGATTCTACATTCTGCCTCCTAACATCCTCGGAGGTTCTCTATTCGGAGAGCCCTCCTCGCCTGTCATTCCCTGTTCTAAGGTCCCTCCCTGCTCTGAAAGACGTGTGCCTTCCTCTGCAATTGTCTGTACCCTGTTTCTTGTTTGTGTCCCGATGGGACGAGCTCCTCAAGAACTGCTTAGTCTTCCCTTGTATTCCCAGCACATAGCACAGCGGTGACACATAGTAGGTGCTTAATAAATGCTTGTTAACTGACTGTGTTGCAAGGTCCTTCCACCTCTTACAGTTCTATGGCCTTTGCTGTATCACTACCACCTGATGGTGACAGTTCATGCAGGTGAGTGTTCCTTATTCACTGGACCCCTCCCACGTCCATCCCAATAGTAGACACGAAGGTAAGCCTCTGTCTTTGTTCAAGAGGGGCCATGTTGAGGTGGAAGGAAGGAGCCAGCAGAGCCTAGGAGGAAAAAATGGAGCTAGCCATGTGCTAATGTGGCTGTTACAAGGAGACCCAAGGACAGAGGGGCCACGAAGGGCCACAGGGAAATGTGGAATGAAAGAGAGAATTCTAAAGAAACTCCCTGGGGTCCAGGGCAAGAGAGAGCTTTCATGAGCATCAGAAGCAAGGCGTTAGGGGGCAACAAGGTGGCACAGTAGATAGAGCACCAGCCCTGAAGTCAGGAGGACCTGAGTTCAAATCTGGCCTCAGACCAAACACTTGACTCTTATTAGCTGTATGACCCTGGGCAAGTCACTTAACCCCAATTGCCTAAAAAAAAGAAAAAGAAAAAGAAAAAGAAAAAAGAAGCAAGGCATTGAGAGCCCAGATGAAAGAGAAGAGAAGAAAAAGGTCAGTGGAAACCTGGCAACAATCAGCCTCACTTTGGCCTGGAGAAAAGAGCCTGCCTGGACCATCTGCTTGGCCCCAAAGTGGAAGAAGGATCAGAACAAGGGGAGGAGGAGCAACCCTGACTCATCCCATGGATTATTACTCACATGGACTATATACCTTCTGAGGGAAGGTGGGACCCACTTGAAGGGAGAGGGGAAACCTGGCTTTTCTTGAGGCAGAGGGCTCAGAAACAAGGGTACTGATCCGGATGCCCTGTTGAGGCAAATCAGTCCTGTCCTATGTCTGGTGCCTTGTTAACCCTAATGCTCACGTGGGATCTGATGTTCTTTTTCGGAAAAAGCAAAATGACTGCTTGTTCTTGGAACTGACATTCTCAAAATTCTTCTGGGTGGGTCCGTGAACCAAAGAAATTGTGTGAGGGAGATATCCCCCTCCACCCTGCAGAATTACCCAGGTACATGGTGTAAATGACCTACAGCTTCCAAGCTAATGGATATTGATGGAGTGGGTTGGAATTGTAAAGGCCAATAGGAACATGAGCTCTTTTTGATTTCGTCCTTTAGAACCACTGGCTGGCTGTCCCTTTCCCAAGAGGCACTTAGCAGGTGTCCTGTGAGGAAACTCAGCCAGGGTCTCCATGAGGAAAGGAGCTTCCCTAACACCAAAAGCCATTCCCCAGTAGAGAAGTGGTCAAAGGATACGGACAAATACTTCTCCAAAGAATTACAAACTATTGGCAGCCATATGAAAAAATATCCCAGATCATTAATAAGAGAAATATAAATCAAAACAACCCTGAGGCATTACTCCACTCCAAAAAAACGAGAATGGTCAACGTTGGAGGGCTTGTGGGAAGATACGCATACTTATGCATTGTTGGTGGAGCTGTGAATTGACTCAGTCAGTTTGGAAAGCAGTTTGGAGTTACGTGAAGAAAGTGACTAAAATGTCTATGTCCTTTAAGCCAGAGATTCCGTTGCTAGGTGTACATCCCAAAGAAGTTAATGGGGAAAAAGATGGGCTCCATATATACCCAAACATTCATAGCATCACTTCTTTGGTGATAGCAAAGACACAGAAATAATATTGATTGGGGAATAGCCTAATGAATTGCGGCACATGAATATAATAGCCTATCAATGGTGATTGATGACTGTGATGAATACAGAGTAGCATGGGCAGACATATGAACAGAGACAAGTGAAGTAAATAGAACCACGGAAACTCCAAACACGATGTCTACAGTACAACCATGTAAATGGAAAAGAATTTGAAACGCAACATTGTGTAATGGTAATGGCCAACCTTGGGGCTGAAGCAGATGATGAAGGGGGAGCTTACTAACAGTAGGGTGGGAGATCGGGAGGGAATATTGGAAGAGAGGAGCCTGGAGCAGATCCGGACCGATTACCCGGTGGTCTCCTCATTCACCCTCTGGTCCCACCAGTCTGTCTGCCTTTTTCTCACTGTTCCTCGCCCACCCAGTTTCTCATGCCTGGAATGCACTCTCTTCTCAGCTCTGCCTCCTCCCTGCAAGGCTCAGCACAGGCTTGGGAGCCTCCTAGGTCAAGCCCACCCCCAAACTACTTAGCATGTGTTTCGTATAGATTTTGTGAGCCATCTGGGTCCAGTGGCTTGATCAGGATGACTGGAGACAGCCCCAGGGGCAGTAGGAGACTGTGGCCTTTGCACAGCCCTCTCTCACTCCATCCAGTTCACTTTCATGTCAAGGCATTATACTCCGGATGTAGCGCCCTCTTCAGAAGAAGGACAAACACCGACATCAATTGTGTGAACACCAGGGAACAGGGACTGCTTTCTTTTTCCTTTCTCTGTATTCCTCCTGCTTAGCTGGGACTTAGGAGATGCTTAATAAATGCTCCTGCTTGTTGGTGACTTAGGTGCTTGACTGTGCTCATACTGTTTCCCTTGATACAGAATAGAAGCCCCTCAAGGGCAGACTGCCTCTCTCCCCTTTGTCACCCTTGCTGTAGTATCTGACACACAGTAGGTGCTTAACACACACTTGTGGGGATTGAGTTTTATACATGTTGTTTCCCTAGATAGGACATAAGCTTCCTTAGGGCAAGCAGGGCTGGGCCAGTATCTGTTGTCTCAGCACTCCCAGTACCTGGCACAGAGTAGCTGCTAAATAAGTGTTTATTGAATTGAATTGACTGGGGAGTATTGGAGTGTAGGTGAGCTGGGTGCAAGAAAAGGGAAGTGGAGGAAGAAATAGGGCTTCTACCGGGGTGGGCAGCAGTCCCGAATGTCGGGGACTGCAGGGTCAAGAGGTGGGAATTTGTCGGCCGTGGGGCACGTGCAATGGAGAAGCTTGGGGGCTGCCTCAGTGGGCCTGAGGCTCTAGGGGCCACTCTGCCCCTCAGTGGATTATTGTGATTAAGTCTTGTGGTTTCCTCCTGTCTCCCTTCACCAGAAAGGTTCAGGAACTCAGAGCGCTTCCTTTTATGCGGCTTTGCTGAGAATCCAGCCCAAAATTCTCCACTGCTGGAGACCCATGCGGCGCACTTTCAAAAGCTATGATGAAGCTGGGACCGGCCTCTTAAGCATAGCTGACTTCAGGAAGGTGAGCAGGACCCTGAGGCGGGGAGGGGCCGGGAAAGGAAGGGCGGAAATCTGCCAAGCCGCTTCCTACCCGTAGATGGCCGCCTCCTCTGATGCTATCCCTCCACCACGGAGCTGTCCCTCTGCCAGGGCACATCTTCTTTCTAAGCACTCTTCATAGACGGGTGACCTGAGGCCTGAGGACTTTCTCAGGGTCATTTCATATCTTGGGGTCATTTTCATATCTTAGGGCCAGAAAAAAATGAGATTATTGAAATCTAAGGCACAGATGCTCCTGGATGTCCTGACGGGGCTGTGACATTTCAAAGGACTTTGTGTTAAAGTTTTATTATTGGCTTTTCACCCCTACTTCTCTCCCCTTCTGCTCCTTCCTCATTCACTGCCTTGTTTCTGTAACAAAACCCGACATTTAAGCAAACCCAAGGGACACATGATGGCGTACCATGTCCCTACTGCTCTCTACGTCTCTAGGAAGGGACAATTAAATCAGGAAGAAAAGAGGGACAGAGGCAGGCAGTGTGGCATGCGGTGGCAGGCAGTGTGGCACATGGTGGCAGGCAGTGTGGCATGCGGCAGCAGGCAGTGTGGCACGTGGTGGCAGGAGCGGCAGCAGGCAGTGTGGCACGTGGTGGCAGGAGCGGAGGCAGGCAGTGTGGCACACAGTGGCAGGCAGCGTGGCACACGGTGGCAGGCGTGGAGGCTCGGCTGTCCCAGGGCCTGAGCTGAACATCTGTGTCTGCCCCTTGTTGTCTGAGTCCCATGAAGCTGGCCATTCCCTTTCTCTGGGCCTCAGTGATCCTGTCTAGTTTGGTGCATGGTGTGTGGGGAGGCCCCTTCAGGGTATAAGACTTCTACAAAAGTCACTTCTCCCTGGGCCTCAGTTTCTTCATCTGACTCTGCTGTTGCCTTGCTATGTGGCCCTGGGCAAGTCATTTCCCATTTTAGAGCCTAAGTTTCTTTCTTTGTAAAATGAGAAGGTTGAGCTACTGAAGAGCTAAGATCCCTCTCATCTCTGACCCTCCCTGTTCTAAGGACGATCCCGGCTCTGACATTCCGTGTTCTAAGCTCCCTCCCAGCCCTGACATCCCCTGTTCTGAGGCTCCTCCCAGCCCTGACATCCCCTGTTCTGAGGCCCTCCTAGCCCTGACATTCCCTCTTCTAAGCTCCCTTCCAGCCCTGATATCCCCTGTTCTAAGCCTTCTCCCAGCCCTGACATCCTCTGTTCTAAGGGCCCTCCCAGTGCTGACATTACCTGTTCTGAGGCCCCTCCCAGCTCTGACATACCCTGTTCTGAGGCCCTCCCAGCTCTGACATACCCTATTCTGAGGCCCTCCCCAGCTCTGACCTTCCCTGTTCTGCAGCCCTCCTGGCTCTGACATTCTTTGACTCTATGTTTGCCTGACCCTTTGCAGCCACATCAAAGAATCAGAGTCTTAGACCAAACAGGACCTCAGAGGTTACCACAGTAATAATACAGGCATCCTTTCTAAACTGGGAGTTTAAGCTCATTGCTCTTTTGTGGAACCCCAGAGTCCCCAAGTTGGAACAGACCCAAGAGGGCACCCAGCCCAGCCCAATACTGCTGCAGGATGCCCCTCTCACCTCCCTGCTAAAGGAGGCCCGTCAGATGGGGGCACTGTCCCTGCTTTGTTGGCCTGTTTCATTGTGGGATATTCCTTCCTTACATTGAGCTGAAATCTGCCGTTCCCTGCTCCCCCCAGCAGAATAAGCTAAGCCTCTTCCCTGGGCTAGCCCAAGGACCCCCCAGCTCCCTGCCCCATCCACCCCAGCTCCCCTAATCTGCTCTCCTCTGTTCTCCAGGTTCTGCGGCAATATGGAATCAATTTGTCTGAAGAGGAGTTCTTTCATATTTTGGAATATTACGATAAAACTTTGTCTTCAAAAATCCCTTATAATGATTTCTTACGAGCATTTCTTCAGTAGATGACGATGTGGGCTCCCCTGCAAGTGCCAGCTAGTGCAGGAGGTGGTGAGCTCCACAAGAGAATGGACGTGGATGCTAAGGAACTAATAAACTAATGAAATCCAGATGCCTGCTTGTTCTTTTCAAGGGCTCATTGAAAAGGGGCTCCCTTCTTTCTCCTGTGCAAAACCCTTTCTAGTACTGCGCTGCCTCTCCCACATTTAGCTACATCCACTTGATCCCTGGATCTCTGACCTCATGGCGTGGGGCCTCAGCCTCCCCCAGGGACCATGGCTGCCTGCCTACAACCCCTTCATCCTGTGAGATTCATAGGCTCACAGATTGAGAGCTGGAGAAAGCACTCATTTTATAGATAAGAAAACTGAGGCACAGAGATCTAAGCAACTTGCTCTGGGTCACACTGCTGGGAAGTCTCTGAGGTGGGATTTGAATGCAGACTTTCCTGACTCTTCAGTCCAGTGGCCCATCAACCATGGTAGGGGGCCTTTCCTAGTCTTCTCCAGCTGTAGGTATGGAGGTGAGATGGTCTCCTTCTCTGCCTGGGGGAGAGATCTTTGCCTGCCCCAGATTCGAGGGAGTCTGAAAACCAGGAGCCTGCCAACTGTTCCCATAGAGCCAGGAGAATCAGAATCGAAGTCCACATTTCTATCCTAATGGCAATCATGGCTTGCACCCCTCCTGACAGAAAGGTGAGCGTCTGGAGAATTTTCAGCTTTTCACATATGAAATTCTGACACTTGGGTCAGGCGTGAGAAAAACAAATGAGCATCCTCCCAATCCATAGACAGAGGCTCACAAGGCACAATGTCCATATGTGGTGGTGCCTCATTTTACAGATGGGTAAACTGAGGCTCACTTTGGAAAGGGGAGAAATGTATCCAGAACCACACAGGTAGTAAAGGATAGAGGTGGGATTTGAATCCATTTCCCCAGTGCTATCCAAAGAGTGCTGGATTTGAAGTCAGAAGCCTTGGGTCCCACTTTGGACTGTGGCCCTGGACAAAGTCTACTGTTGTGAAAGATGAGGGAGCTGAATTTGGTGACTTTGAAGTCCCTTCCAGCTCCAAATCTGTGATTCTAAGATCTCTGGATCCCTGGTCCCTGCTCTTTCCACACCCCTCACCGCCTCGAGAGTCCGCTCTAGACCTCCAGCTTCCACTCCTGACCTTAATGGGCTTAGAATTTGCCATAGAACAAGTTTTGGGCCCTTGAAAGTCATGGCAAAAAGAAAGCAAAAAACCCTCTTTGAAAGTTGGTCTCCAGATTTTAGGAAAAAGAACCTTGTAACTGAGCTAAGAGTCAGCTTCTGCCTTTCCTCAGTGACAGCGAGCTGGTGCCTTGGTCCCAGCTTGGCGAGTCCAGAGCTGAATCCCAACCTCTCCCTGCCCCCACCTTCACTCTTCGGAACATTCCCGTGTCTGCCCGGGACACCACCGTCCCTCCAGGCTTCCAGGTCAGGCACCTCGGCACGACCCTCCACTTCTCAATTTCCCTCATTCCTGACGTTGACTCAGTTGCCAAATCTTGTTTCTCCTTCAGCCTTTCTACACACACAGCCTCCACCACATATAGCCAGAACCTCCTTGCCTCTTGTCAAGATTATTTCGAGAACCTTCTGGTCTTCCTGTTTCCAGTTCCTCTCCACTCCATCATCTACCCAGTTGCCAAAGTGATTTGTCTAAAGCACCAGCATAATGATGCTGCTTCCCTGCCCACAAAACTTTGGTGACTTCCTTTGCCTAGAAACGATTCTGGCATTTAAAACCCTTCACAATCCAGTCCCCTTTGACCTTCCCAGCATTGTTATTCATTACTCCCTGAACCCCACGGGCTAGCCAGACTGCTCTCCTTATTCCTCAAACATGGCAGCCCACCTCCCAGCCTTGCCCTGGTTGTGTCCCATGCCGGTTATGCACGTTCTCTTCACCTTTGTCTTTTGGAATTCCTTCTCTCCTTCAGGACTCAGCACCACCTCCATGAAGCCTTTCTTCATCTCCCCAGTCACTTGTCTCCCCTCTCATTGCTTTTAGCAAAAATTGTATATGTTTTATGTTATATTTATAATTAATATTTCTCCCAGATAGAATCAAAGCTCCTTGAAGGCAGGGCCTGTGGTGGGGTTTTTTTCTTGTACTTATATCCTTTGTGCCTAGCTCAGTGCCTGGCACACAGTGCTTAAACTGACTGGTGAGATGTTATAATTTCGGTGTCAAGCCCTCATTAGGAACCATGGGAAGCATACTGGTTTTAGAGTCAGACAACTTGGTTTCAAGTCCTAATTCCCATGTTGTTTTCAGCTGTGTGAGCTTGGCCACACATCTCCCCTCATTTCCCCTCAGTCTGATCCTTCCTAGTAATTGTCGCCCAGCCTACCTTACAGGGCAGTTCTTTGTAAATGAAGAGGAGGAAGATGCGCTCACCTCTTTTCCTCCTGTCCCGCTGTCAGCTGATGAGGCTTAGCGGCTCTGGAGGTAACAGCGTCAACCGGTCCCATCACTTTGCCAGCATCCCGCGGTGCTTAGGAGCGCCTCATTGCAAGATCTTCTGGGTGACTCACTTGCCCAGTGCTGACACTGAGGTGGAGGAGTGACTTACCTGCTAAAGGCTGTGCCGAGCCCCCCAGAGGCTCCCAGCTAGGCTAATGACAGGATATCACGAGGCAGAACTGGACATTTTCAAAGCATTGCTCTCCCTGCTGCCTACTGAGGTGGGGATGAGATGCCTACTGGGGAAGGCAAGCTCTCTTCCACCCACAGAGTGTGTGATGGCACCGGAGAGCTGTGCAATGAAGTGGGGGCTTCGGGGTCCACACTGCGTGCTGCCCTGTGGAGACAAGCCGACTCCAGTCTTTACACAGAGTGGATCTGAAGCATATGGGGCATGAGGGATTATTTTTAGAGCAGCACCTGGAAGGTTCTGAACGACAACAACAGCAAGCCTTAATCAAGCACCTTGCAGAGAGCTTGTGCAAATATTATCTCGTTTGATCCTCAGGATAACCCTGGGAGGCAGGTGCTCTTATTTCCCCCATTTTACAGATAGGGAAATTGAGGCAGGCAAAGGGTGACTTGCCCAAGGTCACACAGCTAGTGCCCAAGGCTTCCTGAATCCTGGTCCAGCAATCTGTCCACTGTGTACCTTAGATCTAGGACTCGAAGGGACCTCAGAGGTCACCAGGTGCAACCCAATATTTTACAGGTAAGGAAACTGAAACCTGAAGAATTGATGGCGTGGCCCCAAGGTCCTTCACCATCCCTGTAGATGCTGTTTTAGGATCATGGAATCATTGATTCAGAGCTGAAGGACCTCAGATGTCCCCTTGACTACCTCTTCCCCCATTTTACAGATGGAGTAGCTGAGGACCAGCGAGGTCACATGCTCATGGTTATAGAGGCAGGATTTGCACCTGGGTCTTCTGACTCTAAACCCAGCACCCTTTCCACTCTGCCACACCGCCATCCTTGAAGCACCTTTCCTGTCCTGCTTCGGGGCATCTTCATGTAATAGAATCTCTAGTCTCATTCCAGGCAAAGCAGACTTTTTTGTTTTGCTATTCCCCACACATGACTCCCTATCTTCCTTCTCCTGGCATTTGCCCAGGCTGTGCCATATGCCTGGCATGCCCTCTGTCCTTAGAATCTCCTATGTCCTGCTACAAGAAGCCTTTCTTGAGGCTGGTGCCTCCTCATCCCTAAATCAGCTTGTATTTCTTTTGCATGTAATTTTATAGATACTCAGTTTCTCCCCAGTTAGCCTGGAAGAGCTTTGGAGGCCAGCACAGTTTTGTCTCTGTCTTTTTATTCCCAGCATGTGCCTGACATACAGTGTTCCATAAATGCTTGTCGATTGACTGATTGAGCTCTGATTGACCTTGTCTTCAAGGCTCCACTCAAGTACAGCTTCTTCCATGTCCATTCCTCCTCAAATCTCCTTAAAAGTTTTATTCCCTCTTCTAATTTCCAACTGAAGCCCTTTGTTTGAATCTTTCCCTGGTCTCCATTGTTTTTCATGTGATGGGATGTTCATTTGTGTTTGAGCAAAGCACACTAGGAGACTGTAAACTCTTTGAGGGCAGGGCATCTTGCATATAATAGATGCTTAATAAATGTCTGAAGAATACATAGACGTCCTCATTCTTTCCTCCTAACAATCCCTGGAAGGAGAAGGTTGCTTGTGAGTTGTAATAACTCACATGTCCTTCATTCCTCAATGGCCTTCTTACCCTGGAAGATTCCTCTGCCTTGCAGCTCCTCCTCTGATGGCAGAGTTGCTCCATTTTGGGAAAATACCCAGTCCATCCGTACTCACCCCACTCACTCCACTCTTGCCTTTGCTCCTGACCCTCTACACTTCTCTTCTAGTCATTGTTATATTCTCAGGGCTCAGCACAGTGCTTGGCACTTAGCAAGTGCCTAAGAAATTCTCCTTGATTTATTGATACTCCCATAGTATTTAAAGATCACCAAGTACCAGCCATTGGGGAGTTTGAGGCTTGGGGATCTCTTGAGCTCTGGAGTTCAGAGTTGCGGTGGGCTAAGCCAATCAAGTGTCCTGCATTTCCAGATTGGGCAAGATAGAGTTTAAAAAAAAAAGATTGCCAACTACTTGCTTTTAATAACCCTGAAACCAGATGCTACAGTTATTATCTGCATTTCACACAGACTCGGTGAGGGAAGTGACTTGCCCAGGGTCTCACAGCTGGAGTGGAGGTTTTCTATATGGATTCTTCCTCAAATGGAATGGGAATCTTTTCTCATATCGTCCCTGAAAGAGGCGTCTCCAGGGACAGAGATGCCTCCAGAGCTGCAGAGGCAGGTGCTGGACAGCTCCTGTTGTTGCGAAACTTGTCCTCACGTCAAGTTGCAATTTGCAGCCACTGTTCCTATTTTCTTCCCTTTGACTGTAGCGAAAGGCACAATCCCTCTGCCTCGTGAAGGGTCTTTGGACGCCTGGAAACAGTGACCAGGTGCCCTCTTGCCCCTCAGTCTTCTCCAGGCGACACATCCCCAGTTGCTGAGCCCATTCTTACGGGAGCTCCCTTCCCTCTTGTTCCTGGTCAACTTCTTCTGGACTCGAGT